CTGGGGAACGCAGCTCCGTGGGAGAGCACTCCCGGGTTCAACCCCACCCCCAAAGGAGGAAAGCTGAAATGAGAAAGAAACAAATCCACCCAGAACAGGCAGGAACAGAGGGCGAGGAAGCTGGACTGGGTGGGCTGCAGGGCAGTTAGCTGAAGTGGAGGGTGACTGCTGGCCCCACCTGCTGCCCTGTCCCTCCCTGGTGCAGTCAGGACTGTTCGGGGAGACGGTGCACAGCAGTGGTGCCGGACGCTCTCAGGCCACCCACTCCCTGCAGGCGGGTCTCTGCGCAGCAAACCCACCCCCAACGCCGCCCTGGGGGCTGCCCATGCCCTGGTGTGGGCCGGCAGCCTGGTGACCGCTGGTCAGCACCCAGGGCTCCCTCTGACTGCAGAGGCGTCGGACTCCTTGCACACCTGGGGCAGACACAGAAAGCTCAGGGAATGCGCAGAGTCTCTCAAGAGAACAAGGGGCTTGGAGGGTGGTCACTGAGCAGCCGGCGTGTGAACGGCAGAGAACAACGGACACAGGCACTCGCAGAGACGACACATGTGCAGTAGCAACCAGACCAGGTGTGATGACACTCACATCACCCTCCAAGGAGCGTGCAGCGCAGTCACAAGTCCAAGGTAGTGGGAATGCACGAGGCTCAAGGAGGGGAAGGCAGATCCTTAATCATCCATTTCCCCAAGTTGGCCTGTGGATTCAATGTGATTCCCACCAATCCCTCAGCAGGGCTTTCTGTGACACTTCATAAGACAGTTGTGACATGTGTCAAGAAGAGAGTACAACCAGAGGGACCCTCCCCTGCAGATATAAGATGCGGCCGCTGGGCAGCATGGCCCTGCGCTGGGACAAGGGAACCTCCAGCAACGTGGATCACGATCCAGGCCCAGCTGTGCACCCAGGCGGGACATCAGCCCATCAGAGGAAGGTTGTCCAAGAAGTGACTGAAAAGACGGTTGCCTGTGTCGATGTAGAGTTTGATCCGTACCTCACACTGTGCACACAGATCAACTTCAGGTGGGCTAAAGGTGTTCATCGAAAAACGGAACTTGAAGCTCTAGTAATTAATACAGGAGAGTAGTATTTTAAACTTTGAGATAAGGAAAGATTTCCTAAAACCAAAATAGCACTGAAAGAAAAAGATCGATAATTTGGCCACACGAAAATGAACAACTTTTGCTGATCAAAGGGCATCTTTTAAAAAACTGAGAACAAATTGCTAACTGGGAGAAGCCATCCAAAACAGCGTCTTTGAGCACAACTCACCCCCAGGAGAAAAGGCAACGGTAGGAATTGACATTTCACAGAAGGAAGTTACACAACCAACAACGCACACCAAGAAACCCAGCTGTCAATCAAGGGTGTGTGAGACATTAGCACAATCAAAACCGCAACCCGTCACCCCTCCAGTCCACTTGCTGGCAGCACCTGATGACCCACTTCTGTGGGTCCAGGAGACCTCTCTCAAGCTTCCTGTTGTCTCCTTAACCGAAGCATCAGCAGATCCCATGAGCTAGCAATTCCATCCTGGAAATACACTCACAAGACACGTGATCATGGCCATGGGGCATAAGAATGTTCACAAAAGCGCTGCCCCCCAAAGCAAAGCCTGCTACAGCCTAAACGCAGCCACGGGCGAGCAGGTCCAAGAGCTGCAGAATCCCCACAGGGACTGCAGCCACAGGGGCCAGTCTCAGCGATATGACGTCTGCGGGAATGTCCCGTTCCCCACCATGGGGCCCTACAACACCTCCTTAACAAGTAAGAATGGCTGAAGTCCAAAGTCTGTTAAAAGAGAGCACACAGGCTCAATAACGAGAATCAGAAAGGGACGCACAGGCAGGACTGGCGGGCGTAGGAATGGCGGCTCAGTGCTGGGGAGTCCCGCTCCACTGCCAGGCCGCGCTCACACCAAGGGTGCCCGGAAAAGCAAAGCAGGAGGGCGTGATGGGCCGAGGTCGCTGCGGTAGCAGCTCATTACTTTATCACAGTGACTGAGATGAAAAACAGCCCAGCAAGAACATGAGAGTTTCATGAACTGAGAACTGCCATCAGCCACAGCATGTGCCCCTGAGGCCCCCGGAGTGAGAGAGGAATGAATGGACGAATCAGATAGAGTCCTGGCCAGGTGATTAAGTCAGGAAAAGAGGTACGCCGATGATAAGGGTAAAGACAATTCATGAGACGATATAATCGCCTATGTGAAAAATCCAAGGGAATACTAATCCGTAAAACTGACAAAAATGTCCAGTGAGATGACTGGATTTAAAAAATCAACTCCATTTCTATAAACCAGCTGTATTTGTAGATATAATAAAATTTTGACAAGAGGGAACATTCACAATAGAGGAAAAAGAAAAATAAATCTACCCAAAAGAGAGCAAGAGCATTACAAAGAGAACTACAGGGGTTTATTGAAAACTCTGAGGGATCAACAAATGGAGAGCCACCCAGTGTTCACAGACTGGAAGACTCGGCCCTTCCCAAATTAATACGTGAGTCTGATTTAACCCCAGTGAGAGCCTCAGCCGTCTCACTGCTGGTGCTCCTCTGTGCACTCTGTCTAGAGCGCAAGGAGCTCAGGGCCTGTCCAGGGAGGAGGAGTGTGGGAGGCCAACCTTACGGATGACTGAGTTACACTCCCCAGCTGGGTGCTGAGGCGCTCAGTCACAGAAATGGGTGTGTCTTGCTACAGCCCCATGGGTGAAGCTATGCTCACCTGTTCCTTTGTAATCTAACCCCTTGCCCTGTTTAGGATAGAATCTTCCATGGAAGTGCCTGTGTGTGTCCCCTTCTCTTACTGTGCCCTTGGGTGTGGCCTACCCAGGTGTCAGTCAACCTGCTGACAGTGGACATCATGAAGATAGACTCAGCCCCCTGAAACCTGACCCCTTGCCTCATTTGAATAGCAATTCTCCTCAATAAAAGGGGTCAGCGCGTGCTCTCGCTCTCTCTCTCTCTCTCTTTCTGCGGACCCTTAAGGTCAGAGGAGCCGTCACAGCAACCCCAAAGAAAAAGGTATTTGTGGCTCTTGTGAGGTTATTTCGTGCAGCCCAGTCAGCCCAGTTTAACTGGAGTGACCCCTGAGCCTTTTGTCGCGAGAACAGAAACCCGGCAGAGGAGGCTGGGACCTGCCTGGGGGATGCAGGCCCAGGGCAGAGCAGACCCACGCAGCAGGCCAACTGGGCGCACACCAGTCACGGGGGGATGTGTGCCCAAGAGCGGGGAGGGGCTTTCCCACAGGGGCCTGTCGGCACCCACAAAAGTCACCTAGACCCTGACCTGTAGGACTCCACAAGCCAGTTCCAGGAGACCTAGGGATAAAAGGCAGCAGCAATCTGCTGAAAGACTCCTCTGGAAGTCACCTCCGTGACCCTGGGGCAAGGACTCCAATCAATGTGCCAAGAAATCACCTGACTTAGGAAGTTGATGCTTGCATCAAAGGACACCCCGAAGGAGTGCAAAGACAGGACACGGGTGGAAGAAGGTCTCTGCAATCAAAGTCAGCTGAGAGGAAACTGCGCATGAAGAGAAAGACCAGCACTCATGGAGCAGTGGACGGGCACGTTCCAGGACAGGAAACCTACGTGGTCACCAAGTGTCTGAAAGAGCGATTTGCATTCCATTTGTGAGTAGGAAGACACAGAGTCCCACTGTACACCACAGAGAGGCCCGTGCTGAGGTGTCGGGAGCAGTGGCCGCTGCAGTGGTGGTCAGAGTGCAGACCAGTCCGCTCCCTGGGCTGCTTGCAGCACCCAGGGAATGGGTTGGCAGTGTCCCCCAAATTCACGTCCATCTGGAACCTGTGGAGGTGACCTTATTTAGGAACAGAATCTTTGCCAATGTAATCAGTGAATGACGTCGTGCTGGAGCAGGTAGGCCCAACTGCTGTCCTTGTGAGGGATTCTGAACGGACAGGCACGGGGGCAGTGTGCATGGGGACAGACCTAAGGGGGTGATGCAGCCAGCAGCCCTGGGAGCTGGAGGAGGCAGGAGGGAGCCTCCCTGGAGCCCCCACAGTCCTGCCGACACTCTGGCTTCCAGAGCAGAGAGTGTCTGTTGTTCTCAGGCTGTGGTACGTTAGGCAGTTCACACACCCAGCTAAGGTACAGCTGTCTGTCTACTGACCTTTCCCCCAGGCCCGTGGAGGCCCCTTAGTATTCCTGGAGACACCTTCTTAATAATGTAAGCCTGGAAGTCACCCACACTGGGATGCCAGGCACCAGGCAGTAGGACAGACAGGCCTTGGTGACAGGTAGGACAAAGGGCTGGCAGTGTCCTCCAGGGGCACTGCCGTCCCTGCAGAGGTATGGTGCTGCTCCTGCCTGGAGCCCCCACGGGCAATCCGTGCATGCGCATGTCTAGCAGACCTGGCACTGGGGATACAGAGGAGGAGACAGAGCAGCAGCCCTGCCCGGAGCTTCCCATCTAGGGGAGACTGGCATGGCCAGGAGGGCTGCTGGGAGGGACCAGGTAAAGTCAGACAGACAGATTGACCATGGAGGGGACAGCCAGTGGGAGGGGAGTGCACCAGGCACAACAGGTGGGGGCTGGCTGGCCCTGGGTCTCATGGCTACACTCGGGGCAGCACTGGCGTGCAGATACAGTCCAGCCACACTGCCCATCTCAGGCACGACTTGGCTCCATCAGAACCTTCAAGGAACCAAGGCCAGAGCCTGGTGGTTCCGCCGCTGTGGGAAGCTGTTGGTCCAGTGACATTTCCCCTGCCTGGCTCTGTTCAAACACTCTGGCACAAACCCATCTGCACTACATCCAGAGAGACAGGGCACCGCCCACCGAGGCCCAGGGCGGGGGGACACTGGAATTGCTGCTCCCAGCACTGTCTCCTCCAGAGACCCCATGCTGGGTGCCAGTTGCCCCCAATCCCGCTCCCAAGCTCATGCTGATGCCCCAGTCCCATCCCTTCAAGACACAGCCGCTGCAATCACCAAACAAGCACAGGTGACTGGGGACACAGTCCTGAGCGCGCATCTCACCTGCTGCGGCGGCGGCTGGCGTTGGGGACAGCGAGGTCTGCACCGACTTCGCGCTCTGCGGCGCGGGCGCCAGGGGGCGCACGCTCAGCGAGCTCGCATCCACGAGTTCGGCGGGCTGCGCTTTGGAGAAGGTGCTCTTGGGGGCCCTACTGTCCGCGCGCGGGCAGGCGCAGGCGGGCAGCGCGAGCTTCCCGCCCGCCTCGGCGTGCGCCGGCCTCGCTCTGCAGCTTCGCTCTGCCGGCCGCTGCGGGGGCGCGGGCAGCGGGGAGCAGAGCGCCTTGGCGTCTTCCCGCTTCCAGTCCTGCACAGCCCCGCGCGGAGCGCCGCCCGCCAGGCCCGGCACGGCCGAGGGGCACCGCACTTTGAGTAGCTGAGCGTCGCAGAGGGAAGCCAGGAAATCGAAGTTGGTGATGGGCGGCATTTGCCTCTTGGCCTTCTTCATGCCGATGCCCTCCACGCAGAGGTCGGATCCGTTGAAGGGCGGCAGCTCCACCACGGGCTGGGGAGAGGATGCGGGAGCGAGGGTGGGCCTGCACACCTGACTCTGGGGTGATGTGGACCCCAGGAGGCTCTTGGGACCTGCAGGCCAGGGGTGGTCCTCTGACCCCACACCCAGGGACCAGAGATGCCCTTCTCTCCCAGTTCTGCCTCCGTGATGAGGCCTCAGCCAGGCACCTGGTCCCTCCTTCAGAGTGAGTCTAGGGCACAGGGCCTGACCCATGGTGCAGAAGCCCCGAGGTAAAGGCCCCAGGTAGCCCTGCTGTCCAGCCTGCTGGAGAGTTCTCTAGGGGAGGAGGCCCAGCAGGCCCTGGAAAATACAGCCTGGAGTCTGGGGGAGCCCAGGGAGTTCTAGCCAGGACCCAGCCGTGGCCACAGAGTCAGGATGGGGGCTGAGAACCAGGGGGAGCAAAGTTAGACTTCAGAGGTCCTGGGACAAGGTGGCCAGGGCTGCCCAGACCTCCCGGGGTCTGGAGTGAGCTCTTTGCTCCGTGCAGAGAAGACTGAAGTCAGGGGGAGCAGGGCAGGCCCAGCGCGTAGAGCACACCAGGACCAGGCTCACCAGACCTGGGCTCTGGACCTGTGTCCTCCGTGATCCAGCAGGGCTGGTGGCCTGTGGCTCTGTCCAGCTGCTTCCAGTAACAGGAAGTGGAGGTGGCTGCAGCTTGGGACCCAAACCCATCCCATGGACAGGTGCTTGCAGCCAAAGGGGCAGCTGCTCTCTTACCTGTCTCCACAGAAGCTCAAAGTTGCCGATGTCACAGTTGCGGTCGACCTTGCGGTCCACCACCACCTTGATGGTGTCCTCCTGTACCTGGGCACAGAGCTGGGCCGTGACGGGTGTGGATGGGTGCATGGTGGGACTGGAATTGATCTCGATCAGCCAGGGCTTGAAGTCCCGCCCGAGGATGAAGTCCGCGCCGTAGAGTTCGAAGCTGTTCTTGCGGGCCTCCACGTGGTCCTGGGCCACCTTCATGGCGTTGGTGATGGCCCTCTTCATGGAGGGGTAGATGACGCTGCCCCACATGGCCCCACGGCCCTGCTTCTGCAGGTACTCCTGGAACCTGGAGCTGGACCACATGTTGTGGCCAGGCAGCAGTGGGCTGCGCCCCTGGTCATTCCGGAGCCGCTTCTGGATGGAGTGGTTGCACAGGTGGATGGCACTGCAGGGCAAGGTGCTGTGAGGCCTGATGCCATCCTCCATCGCCCGCCCAGGTGGCCCAGGCCTTGCTGTGCCCGGGACCCCACACCTGGCCCAGGTGGTGGCAGGAGGGGCCCATGCTAGTGGACTGGGTTCTTCAGGCTCTGCCACCTGGGGCCACCGGGATCGTAAGGAGGCAATGCAGAAGCCCAAGGAACTGTCACAACCTCCCCAAGGCTGTTTCCCTATCTGCATGTTGGAAGGGACACTGGCCCTTGAAGGGCTGATTTGGCGAGACAGATCCTGTGACATCTTAGTTATACTCTTATCTTGCTCTGAATGGATTCAAAATAAACACCACCTTTTGGGAGACTATAAAGTGCGACTTTGGGGACCGAGGACATTTTTGTTTGGACTGTAGCTATGTCGGGCCAGCACCCTGGGCTGGGAATTCCAACCTGTTCTGGGGGCGGGATCTGCTCTCACAGCCACACGTGAGCACTACCATGTGAAGTAGAGGGAAAGGAAAGAGTAGGAGCTTCTGGAAGCTAGAGAGTCGTGGGGCCAGGCCCTGGGCCTACGGGCCCTGCCTGCCACTCGGGTCTGTGCACAGGCGGCCACAGCCACGCAGGCAGACTCTGGAATCCTCTGTCAGTCCAGACGGAGAAGCAGGCTCAGCAAGGGTGTGGGAGCTGCCAGGCAGGCGCTCATGGCTTGGTGAGGCATCGTGGGGCAGGCGTGGGGCTGGCGAGGGCTCCCTGGGGTTCTTTGCACAGAGAGTTCCCAGATCCCGTCCCTCTGGACCCCCTTGTTCTGGACAATTAGCCAGCAGCCCTACCCCAGGTGTGACCTAACAGGTGGGACTTGGGTGTGGCTGCCCACCCCCCGTCGGGGTAGAGTTCACCCCAGCAAGGTCTCTGTTGGGCCACTCACAAAACTGCAAGAGGAAGCCCTGGTTCGGGCAGAGGCTGGGGGATGCTCGTGTGGGTGGCACGTCCCTTAGGAGTCACAGGCCCTCACTGTCCTGTCCGTGCTGGTACCTGGTGAGGTGGGGTTCACCACCGCGGGTGCCCTGTTCCCGGATGTCTGAGCCTCTGCCTGGTGCCCCAGTGCTTTGGTGGTGGAAGGCGACCGTGAGTGTGTGGAGCGGTCGGCAGCTGGGGCACCTGCCCACACACACCCCAGTGCTTGGCACTGTGGGCATGACAGCCCTCCACTGACCTGTCAAGATTGTCCAGGGAGAAGCGCTGTGTGGAAAACCGCAGATAGCTCTCCTTGTAGAACCAGATGGTCAGGGGGTTCCAGTCTGTGACGAGGAACCACTGCCTGATGTCGAACTTGGTGTCATAGATGAGCATGGGCGTCTCGATGTACTTCTGCACCACCCACTTGTTGTCCTTGGTGGGCAGTTCCTCAGCCGCCAGCTCCAGGATGTCCTCCACCCGGTCCATGCACACTATGTCTGCAAGAGGCCACAGCTCAGGCCTGCGGCACGGCCTCTATGGTCCCAGCTCAGCTCCAGCGCCCACCTTGCCTTGGGTCCAGGACCAGGAGACAGCACGGCCAGCTGGGCAGGGCAGCTTCACCCTCAGTGGAGGAAGCCATAGTTAGTGCCCAGCTCGCCCACTGCAGGGCCACTGTCCACACTCCAGAGAGGGGGATGCAGAGATCCAGGAGGGACATGGCAGGGGCAGTGGGACCTTCGAGGGCTGGACGGTCAGGACACTAATGGTGCCCTGATGGACGTGGTACGCATGGAAGGTGGAGTCCCTGAGTTCTCTCTCGGTTCCCCATCACCCCCTTAGGCCAGGTGACTTGCAGTGGCTGGGACACGTGGGCAGGAGGGCAGGCCTCACTGTGTGCGTCCCTGCCTTTCTCTGCCGTGACAACTCTGAAGCCTGAGGGAATGGGGTCCCCAGGTAGGGGACTTGATGGGCAGAGCGCCTGGTGGTCTGCCCAGGCCAGCCACAATGACCACAAGCCTGAGTGACAACGTTTTGCTGAGGGCCACTGAGATTTGGGGCTGCCATTTCCTGACACCAGGGGTCTATCCTGGGTCTATCCTGACTGACACAGGGTGGAGGGACGCTCTGTCCACAGAACTCCAGAGGCATGAGGGAGAGCTCCTCACAGGGCACGAGACTGGTCCCTTCAGTTCCAGGGAGTGGAGACCCTGCCTGACACAAGAGCTCAGGACATGGCAACCAACTGCTGAAGTCACTGAGCCCCAGACACCTGGGCAGGAGCAGGGCGCGCACAGCCAGGGACCAGCAGAGAGGAGTGCTGTGCTCTGGCTTTAGACAGGGGTCAAGGTGCCCATGCAGTGGGAGGAAGGTCGGGCTGGCTGGACGGGCAGAGTACAGGGCAGGGGTGGGCAGAAGAGCAGAAAGAAGTCTGCAGGACACGGGGTGTGGACCACACCTGCCAGGCAAGAGGAGGCTCAGGGAGAGGGTCAGGACTGAATGCAACAAAACCACACATCAATGCATGTTTTAAGATCACAAAAATCAACAAACTATTCAAAATAATTCAGGATGCAAATAGAATATCCAAACTAAAAATAAAGCTGACTCGGACACCCAGGAAGAAGAGGACATTGTGAATCACAAACAAGAGGGTACCGCGAAGGCTGTCCACAGAGGGAATCTCACAGCACTGGGGACAAGTGAGTTCAGCACTCAAGTCAGAGATAAGGGGGACGTGCCTAACAGGAAAACTGGAAAATGCCACCAAAAGTTGATTGAAAACACGAAACATACAAAAACACTCCATTAGGAAAAAAATCAGAATATAATAATGGCTGTAATTTGAGAAAATGAAGTAAAAAACCTGAATAGGCAGTAACCACAACCACAGACAAAATCTAAGCAGTGTTAGGGCTCTGCTCTAAGAGAGAAGCTGGTTTTTATTTTAGTTAATTAATGTGTCTAGTTTTCAGCACTGGGGATTGAACTCAGGGGTGCTTTACCACTGAGCTACACTGGCAGTCATTTTTATTTTTTATTTTGAGACAGGGTCTCACTAAATTACTGACGGCCTCACTAAATTGTGAGGATGGCCTTGAACTTGTGATCTTCCTGCCTCAGCCTCCTGAGTTGCTGGGATCGTAGGTGTGGCCACCACACTCAGCAAGAGTCTGGGTTTTAGGGATGAGTTTGCTAGTGAATTAAGGTGCAGGAATCGCTCTCCCTGAGATGAACGTCCACCCTCTGTTTTAAAGGCTGGTGTAAGCCTGTCACTAAGCTCAACCAAGGTAACAGAGAAGGACGACCACAAAGCAGTGTAACCTGGGAATGCAGACGAGGAGACACTGGTTAACTGGCAGACCTGAACACAGCACTGAGACGGGATTGTGCGTCCTCCTCCTCCACCAGGCACCTGTGAGTCCTGAGCCCCCAGTGACCGCCACCCCAGCTCCCCACCTCCCCACAGGGCCACAAGCTGGAGACCACGGCTCGCTCCCGACACCCCTTGGGTGGATGTCAACAAGGGTGGCTCGTGCCCACGGAGCACCCGTTCCCGGGGAACTCACCTCGGCCCCGGGACTTGGCTGCCGGTTTGATGATCCAGATGTTCCGGAGCCCGTCGATCTCTGTCTGGGGGTTCACAGAAGTGATCTTATTCAGCAGAGCCTGGCACTGCGAAAAGTAACTCCTTGAACTGGAGATGAAAGCATCGCCGCTACAAAGCAAGATGCGGAAAGTGCGTGAGGCTGCAGAGCTGGCCACGCCCAGTGCGCGTGGGTCTAGGACCGGCTGGGGCAGGCCAGGGTGTCCTGCCAACCAGAGCACAGCCAGGGACCCAGGCCTGCCAGAGTGCTCCTGGACAGGGAGGTCAAGAAGTGGGGACCCACCTTGTGGATCTGGCTGCATGTGTACCCAGGATGCCAGGCCTGGGGCCACATGGGAACCACTGGAGGTGGCCGGTCCCTATGCAGAGGGTCCATCTGCATGCACCGCGTCCGATGGTCCCCCGTAAGAAATGGACATGCCATGCAGACCTTCCAGTCCACACCAGTGGCCAGTGACCACCCTGTGAGTCCACTGCTGCCCAGACCCCAAGATATTGTTGGTGGTTTTGCAGAGCCAGGCAGCAGTGGCCTGACCCAGGAGGCCCCAGGATCTTGTGGCACTAAGGCCAGTGGAGCTGCCGAGCATCTCAGAGTCTGCGGAACCCTCTGCACCTGGAGAAGCTCCCATGCAGCACCTCAGCAGCCCATGGCATGGGACCCTCTGCAGGTGGCAGCCCAGCAGCTCAGGAGGAAGTAAGTACCAGGCCGCGCTTCCTGCACAGGGCCCAGCACACTGGCCATGACCCAGGCTGAGGGGCATCTGGGTTCTGTTGCCCTGCTGGGAGGGAGGGCGGCATCCAGGAGAAAGTGAAGCGTGGGGGACCCTGGCCATGTGGGCGGCCATCCTTGTGGAGCTGCAGTTGGGGGGGCCAAGAGAACATGAGCCCCCAGCAGTGACTGCCCTGCTGCGGGCAGGGAGCAGGGGACAGAGTGAGGGCTCTGCCTTGCTGGCTGAGTAGCAGTCAGGGCCCCACGCCCCTGAGAGCCCTCTTGGGTGGTAGAGCAGGAGGGCGTCGAGGCTCAGCGAGCAGGTGCAGCCCCTGCCCCAGAAAGCTGTGGCCCGAGCTGGCCCCAGACCTGCCGTGAGGTGGCTCCTGGCCACAGGCTGCTCCCATGGCTGTGGCTTGGGGAGGTTAAGCAGTGGCCGCCCCAGGGGAAGGAGTCTCTCAGCCTCTCCCAGGACACGGCGCCCAAGTCTGGAAGGACCCCTCCTCCAGGAGCTGCCCTGCCTGGGTCTGCGGTGGAGGGGAGCTGGGAGGCCACAACTCTGAGAGCCAGTGTGCGTGAGCCAGAGCCCAGGCGGGCTTCAGGAAGGACCGGCAGGCCAGGCTCTGGGCCCTGCCGCTCAGGAGAACAGATGGAGTCACTCCCACCCTGACCTGAGAAAGGGTGGTGCAGCGGCCAGGCTCACTGGGTCCTGGTGCGTGGGGACCCCACGAGCCTTGGCCAGTAAGGACACGTGCACCTGAGGCTCCCTGCCGGCCCCTCCAGAGCAGCCCAGACCAGACTCCACTGCCCCCCCTCCTGACCAGACGCAGGGGGCCTCCGTGACCCCTGGGACCTTCCTTTTTATTGAGGTCTAAGAAAATGTGGTCAAGTGCATAACGCCCTACCCAAAAAAGGGGAGTGCTCTACACCAACTGCCACAGGGACGAGGACAAACGCTGCTCCTCAGCAGGTTCCCTAGGACTCCGCCCCTGGACAGCAGCCACTTGCCTTCTGACTTTCTACCGCCTGCACCGGCTTTGCCTTGAACTTACACCTGGAACCACACATGCACCCTGATGGCCTCTCAGGACAGGCTGCGAGGCTCGCCTGGCCGCTGCGCCTCGGGCAGCAGAGCCAGTGCCAGGTCTGGGCTCTCGGAACAAGGCCTTTCTGAGCACACGCATCCGCCCTCGTGGGTGAAGACCTCGGGATGACTAGTTGGACACGGGGTGTGCAGATGCCTGGATTTGTGGGAACCGTGGGAGTTGCAGGGGCCCACACGTGTGGGGTGGGTGGCCTCCGGAGCCAGGAAGCCGCTCTCCCCTCGCGAGCTCCTGTCTGGGGGCATCTGAAAGCCTTCTCTTGTGGACTCCTGAACGTTTCCATCGGACGCCTCTTCCTGACCCACAGCCGTCCTCAGAGTGACTAGGGCAGGCCTCACCGGACCCGCGGGCTGTCATGGTCTCCAGGACACTGCATGGCTCGCCTTTCCATTCAGTCCATAGTGCGCTCCAGTCGGCTGGTCACCACTGCGACCAAGAGACCCGACAAGAACAAGAGGAGGGAAAGCTTATGTGGGGGCTCACGGTTTAGAGGTTCAGTCCTTGGGCAGCTGACGCCATAGCTCTGGGCCCAGATGAGGCAGCACCTCATGGGCATGGAGGAGGAGAGCAGCTCAGGGCACGGCACCAGGAAGCAGAGAGCTCTGCTCACCAGGAACAAAATGTAAACCCCACGGGCCACCCCCGTGACCCAGCTCCTCCGCCACCCCCACTGCCAGCAGTCACCACCAGCTAACCCCTGCCGGTGGGTGAACCCACTAACCAGGTTACGGCTCTCATAACCCAGTCACTTCACCTCTGAACCTTCTTGCCTTGCCTCATGAGCTCCGGGGACGCCTCGTAGTGAACCTCAACGCAGCGCTTTCTGAGAAACGAACGCCTCATAACGCCCCCAGCACGCACAGCATTGGTCTTCTCATCCTGGTGGACTGTGGAAATCTTCCCTTGGGTGCTGGAGGTCGCCCCGGTGTTGGTTTCTTAACTCTCTCACATCCTGTCTCAAGTTCCTCTTTGTGTGTCTGTGAAGCAGGATTCCACGTGCTGCCCGTGGCCCCAGTGCTGTCCACTGAGGGGCCTGGCCTCAGGTTACATGGGCAATTGAATGAGGACCCGTTCCTGGGGTCTCCGTCCTGCTGCGCTGGATGGATCTTCTATTCTATCCCAATATACCTTATTATTACAGACTTAGTCTTGAAATTGGAGCATAAAATCCTCTAATTTTGTTTTTCTTGATCGAGCCTCTCTTGTCTTAAATTATTATTATATTGCTGTATAAATTTTAGAGTCACTTTAATTTCTCTTGCCTCCAAAGAAATCCCTGCCTAGATTTCAGTTGGGATTCTGTTGACCTTTGGGTTGGTCTGGAGGAACAAACCACACCAGTAAGTGTCCTGATTTGTGAGCACATTTTTACACGCTCATACACATATATTAGGCACCTGACACCTCTGAGCTTATTACTTTCAGTTTAGGGACTTGAATGAGTTTTGCTAGATTTATTTCTAGATCTCTGTTGTTGCTTTTTATTGTATACTGTGATTTTAAATGTCAGTCTTACCCTCTCTGCTAGCACATGGAAATAGAATGACTTTGTATTAATCTTGAGTCCGGAGACCTTGTTAAATTCACTTAATTCTCATATTTTTAAATTTCTTAAAATTTTCTATGTGCACCATCACACCATCTACAAATAACGAGCTTCTCCACCTGTGCTCTTTGTCTTTCCCCTCGTCTCCCAACTGCTGGACGCGCCAGCCTGCTGATCAGAGGACGGCGGTGAGCATCTGCGGACCATTCTGATTTCAGGACCACACTTCAGTGTATCCCGCTGAGAAGCATCAGCTGTGGGATTGTTACAAACCACCCATCCACAAGCTTTTCTCTTCCTGGTTTGCTGGAAACCTGAACATGGACAGGGATAAACTTGTATCGTTTTTGTGTTGTTGAAATCATCACTTAATCTCTTCTGCAGAGGTGACCGAATTTGCTGGTCACTTTTTTCCATTTTTGGGTACGGGGGTGAACCCAGGGGTGCTCTACCACTGAGCCACATTCCCAGCCCTTGTCGTTTCACTTTGTTCTGACTCGGGGCTCACCAGTCTCCAAGGCTGGCCTTGCACTGTGTTCTTCTGCCCCAGCCTCCTGGCCGCTGGGGTCACACCTGGCTGCCACAGGTCACTTTTAAGTGGGTTTCTGGGTTTCCAAATGTGCAGCTCTCACACCTGTCTTCTGAGGTTGCTGTCTGGCGTAGCCCTTTCTCCAGAGCCCATGCCTCCATGGCGTTCACGTTGGGCATGGTCCCTGCACCTGCCTGGTGGGCGCTTTGACCGTCAGGCTTCACTTTTGGCTCTGAAGGCGCCTGATGGTGACGTGCGCATCTGACCAGATGCAGCCACACCAGCCTCCCTTGCTGCTGCTTCCCCGAGCGTCTTCTCTTGGTTTCACTTCTGAGTGTCCCGCAGTCACATGTAAAAGGGGTCTCCATGAACCTAGTTGAGTCTTTGGGGGTTTTTTAAAGCATTATTCTGGAAGTCTTTGTCTTCAGGGTACTTGCTGCATTTAGTGGAACGGGGTGATTTTGTTTCTTCATTTCTAATCTGAATTATGCCCGTGTTATGTACAACACGCATATGTTTGTAGGCTACATAAAGACGAGCAAACACGTTACTTACACACAGCATTGCATTTTAACACGGACTCAACTATGTGAATGTATTCAAAGGGCTCCGTGATTCGTATGTGCTTGGAAACTGGTAAGATGTTAAAAATCAAGAACCTATGTTCAAATTATAACTCAATAAGTATATTTTTAAACTTAGGCTGAAATAGAAGAAGTGGACATATGATCACCAAGGTGTATGTGGACTCCCGGAGAGCTGGCCAGACCATTCCCTTGGAAAGTCTGTGTCTATAGTGCCTCTGTGCAATTCTGACGCGGGTCCTGGGCTTGTGACAGGGCCCTGGGACCACCGATGACAAGGCACCTCACCACCCGTGCGGTGGTGTGTCTGGGGTCCTGAGCCACAAGCACAAGTTAGCTGGAGGTGGCGGGCCAGCACACAGAGGCAGAATGGGGGCCCAGAAGCAGCGAGGCTCTCTGCAGTGACTTCCAAAGTGTTCTCCCAAAGAGAAATGCAGGTAGACTGGACTCCAAGAGCGGAGCATTTTCCGGCCACCCCCCCCATACCAGGATTCTGAGCGCACCCCACAAACCACCCGAAGAATGGGCAGGAGACGCGCCCGGGCTCTGAAGAGCCTGTGAGGAGAAGCAGCAGAGACCGACCTCCTTGGTAGGAGCATGGGGAACAGGCCCACTGAGGACGGAACATTCTGAAGGGCCA